TTTAAATCCCTTTACTATCTGGCTCCAAACTTTTGGGGGGGGGGCAGGGCAGTCAGGGTTAAGTGACTTGCCCAGGGTCATACAGCTAGTGAGTATCATGTGTCTGAGGCCAGATCTGAACGCAGGTCCTCCTGACTCTAGGGCCGGTGCTCTATTTTTTCCAGGTGTATCTCAGATTATTTCTCAACACCACTCATCCAAGATTACAACCAAACTGATCTACTCAGTGTAGCTCACTTCTAGAACAATCCATGTCCCATCTCCACGCCTTGCACAAACTGTTGCCCATGTTTGGAATGCTCTCTGTTCCTGCCTCCACCTCATGGAATCCTTACCTCTAATCAAGGCTCCACTCAAATGCCACCTCACACACAAAGGCAATCCCCTTGAATGTTAGATTCCCACCCCACATCATTACTTTGTACATAGAGCCTAAAACTGTACTAAGACTTTTGGGATGCCAGGTATTGTGTATTTTCTTATCTTTGTGTGTATTTTTGCTCCTCACACCTATATACCGCCCCCAGTAGATATGTACGCTCTTTAAGGGCAAAGACTGTTTTCATATTCTTCTTTACACCCCCAGCGCCCAGCACAGCACTAGCACATAGTAGGTGTACAACAAATGCTTGCAGAATCCAATAGAATTACCAGATGTGCACCTGCTCTGTGGCTTTGCTCTTTCTGGCCCCATAATAAATAAAATAAGTGTCTCCAACTTCCTGTGGCCTCCTTCCCTGTGGCCCTTAAACTGGTAAGTCCATGGGAAGGCTCCCTGACAAGATACTATATGGGAACTTGAACCAAATAACCTGCCACTGCCAAGGAAGAGTGTGCTCCATTCAGTCACCCACCCTTGAGAAGTCTGCGTAGGACCGAGATGCTTCAGTGGAAAACAAAGAGTGAGGAAATGGCTGCTCCGTCAGCTTGAATTATTTAGTTGCTGGGATGTGGTTGAGTGTTACATAGTAACAAAAGCCAGGTAGCTCCAGGTAACTTCAGCTCCACAGCCTAGACTCAGCTCTGCTTAATCCTTTATTGTGTTCTTATTCACTCCGTGCTTGGAAGCCCAGAGCCTATGCCAGAGCTGGTATTTATATCACACTTTAAAGTTTCCAAATTGCTTTACAAATATCATCCCATCTGATCCTCCCAATAGCCCTGTTATTATTACTGCCATTTACAGCTGAGAAAACTGAGACAAACAAATTAGGCAACTTGCCCAGAGTCACACAGCATATAAGTGTCTGAAACAAGATTTGAAATTTAGTCTTTCTGCCTCCAAATCTAATGCTCTTATCCACCATGCTACCTAGCTGCCTGTGTTTATAGCAGCGGTGAATTCTAATGTGTTATGATGGAAATGCAGAATTCCTATTTTGATCCTGTTTTACGATTCACAAGAGACCTTCTGGACAATCACTCCATGGGACAGTGAGGTAGTGTTAGTATTATCATTTCCATTTTACCAATGAGGAAAATGAGTCCTAGAGAGATGATTACCTGGACCATATCATATCATTCAAGAATATAAATGCAGCGGGGCAGCTAGGTGGCGCAGTGTGTATGGCACTGGCCCTGAAGTCAGGAGGATCTGAATTCAAATGTAGCCTCATTCACATAACATTTACTAGCTGTGTGACTCTGGGCAAGTCACTTAACCCCACTTGCCTCACCCAAAAAAAAAAAAGAATATAAATGTAGGTGTCTTCTGTTAGCTTCCCTCCTCAGTTCATGAGCAGTAAGTAGGCTAGGGGATAGGAACTGAATGTGTGATTTCATGGATATAAAGAACTCTCTGATGAAGGAATTCCCTCTACCAGCCCACATCAGAAGCTTCTCATCTTGGAGAGTTTCCTGCAGCTCAACGAGGTGGAGTGACTAACCCAGGATCACACAGCCAATAGAAGTCAGAGGCAAGGCTTAAAGCCAGGTGGTCTTGACTCTAAGGTGTACCCCCGCATCTGGAGCTCTTCGTAGTACAGGGACAAAAAGTTTGGTCCAGCTCAGTCCAGCTCAAAACCCCCTGAGGAATTCTATCATTTTATTATAGCATGGGACATGAACTAGTGTTTAGGATGAGACTCCTGAGTCAACAAGCTGAGGCACCCAGGTGATACAATAGATAGAAAGCTGACTCTGGTGTCAGGAAGACCCAAGTTCAAATACAGCCTCAGACATTTACTAACTCTGTGACTTTGAGCAAGACGCATAACCTCGGCCTGCCTCAGTTTTCTCAATTGTAAAATGGGGTTATAATAGCACATCTCACAGGGTTGTTGTGAGGACCAAGTGAGATGTTTGTAAGGTACCCAGCACAACATCTGGCACATAGTAAACACCAAACGCTTACTCCTTTCCCTGTCAGTCAAAGGTTGTTCAATGTAGTGTGTTTAAAGGGCAAGGGATATGGATAACACATTTCCGAAAGATCACTATTAAAAATTGTTTTGTTTGTGTGTGTGGTTTTTTTAATGCTTAATCATCTAAAGAATGCAGTGCAGGTAGCTGGGAAATGCACTTCTCTTAAAACTGCTTGAGATGCTGTCTTATACATGCACATGTGTGTATGTGTGAGTGTGTGCACATGTTATTTATTTATATCTTGTATATATCTTTTTTCCTCTGGGCCTATGATTTCATTAGTAATTTCCAGTAATTTTGCCATACAAAATACGGCAGAAACTTGATGGATCGCTCTCCTGATCCCCATCCTAAATGCAAATTTAAAAGACATATGTGATTTCTTTGTGCTTATGGGGCTTGTGGCCAAAAGGTAGAGATGGGGCTTGGAACTAGGAAAGAAAAATAGATAGAGGAAGAGAGAAGGAAAGATATAAGAGGGAAGGAGTCAACAGACAGTAACCATGTCAATTGCATCACCCAGAGGATCTAAAATAAGCAATTTCCCTCAAACCCTCAGTCCAAACTAAAAGCTACTCCTCAACTTCCCCTGGTAGTCTCCCAAATACACTGAGCCTTCCTTTGTATGCAATGGAAATGATTAGTCCTGAATGGTGTTTTACATGCATACCATTATAAATAATCTAAAACATTTGGGTGACATATATCACTAGTGTCACTATATTAATGATTATTATCACTATTATTTTTTAAGTGCTACATAAATTAGAAGCAGTGTTATTACAGAGAGTCAGTCTCAGAGTCAGGAAGACCTGTTCAAGTTCCTCCTCAATATTACATAAATGATTTTCAACTGACTGACTGGCTGACTTACATAGGCTGGACATGTGACCCCAGGCAAGTTCCCTTAATCTTTCCATGCCCCCAAGCAACTTGGTGACTTGAAGTTCCACAGATACTGTCAATTTGCATTAGAAAATAGGTTTTCTTGCCTGGAATTCTGTTACCAACGAAATTATAGGTCCAAGGCGAGGTACGATACATATGGGGTGTCTCAAAAGTCTTTTTTGTTTGTTTGTCGCTAGGCAATGGGATTAAGTGACTTGCCTAGGGTCACACAACTAGTAAGTGTTAAGTGTCTGAGGTCGCATTTGAACTCAGGTGCTCCTGACTCCAGGGCCAGTACTCTATCCACTGTGCCACCTAGCTGCCCCCTTAAAAATCTTAATACAGTTCTAAGGCTGCACTAAGACTTTTGGGACACCCTTGCATGTATGTATGTGTGTGTCTGTGTGTTTCTGTGTGTATGTGAGTGTAGTTATTATTAGCAGGTAAAAATGACTGATATTCCCATAGTACTTTTTAAGTTTATAGCACTTTTTAGTGGACAAAGTACTTTGTATACATTTTTCTCACTCATCCTTCATAGCATCATGGTATGGTGGAAAGATTACTGCCCTAGGAATCAGAGGACCAGGGCTCAAATTTTGCCACTGCCTCTTCTACCAGTATGCCCAGTATAACAGCAGTAACTACATGATGACCTCAAGCAAATCATTTAACTTCTCTGGCCTTCAGTTTCCACATCATGGCCTCCAACTCCAAATCTACAATATAAGTCATTTAACCTCCTTGAGCCTCAGTTTTCTCAACTGTAAAATGGGAAGATGAACTAATTTGCCTCTAAGGTCCAATTCCATATCTATGATCCTATGATCCTATAATATTGTCAAGTAAATACTGCAGATGTTATTATCTCCACTTTACAGAGCAGAAAATTGAGGCTTAGAGAGTTTAAATAAATTGTCCCTGGTCACATAACTAAGTGATCAAGGCAGGATTTGAACCTTCCTACTCCCCAGTCTATACTTTGTCAACTTCATTTATATCCATTGTAACTCCTAGGTTATATGTATTAGCGCTACCAGGCATTTAATTAATTTTTTTTTATGAAGATGAGGGAAAGCAAACCACAAAGGAAAAGGAGGAAGGCAAATCAGCTACCTCATAATTTTTTTCTAATCTTTTTTGGTCCAGATGCAGAAGTTCATGAGAGTACGGGACTACCCATATGGAAACTCCCCCAAACAATGCAGCTCAGCAACTATTCTGAAATTTAGTCTCAGATTGCTGCACAGAGAAATCACATGATCTGTCCAAGCTCACAGAGCTAATATGTGTCAGACATGGGGCTTGATCTCAGGTGTTCCTGACCCCCAAACCAGCCTTCATTTTCTAGGTTATTGCTACTTCTGAATAATCATCAAAGTTTTGTTATGTGGGTTTTTAAGATGTTGCCTGGTGCTGCACCATATTCAAAAGTACATACTTGGTCAACAAGCATTTATTTAATATTTATTATGTGCCAAGCACTGGGCAAAGTCCTAGGGATGCAAAGAAAGGCAAAAATAGTCACAGCCCATAGGGAGTTTAAATAAAAAAAATTAGAGAGAGAGAGAGAGAGAGAGAGAGAGAGAGAGAGAGAGAGAGAGAGAGAGAGAGAGAGAGAGAGAGAGAGATTTAATTAAAAGACTTTTTATTAAAATATATATAAAGATATATGTATACACATAGATATAGATATTATATATATATGATATATACAAAATAAATAGAAGATGTATTTAATTGGAAAGGTTTCCAGCAGAAGGTGGCATTCAAGTTGAATCTTGAAGGAAGCCAGGGGATTCCAAGAGACAGAAGAGAGGAAGGAGTCTTTCAGACATGGGTGATGACCAGTGCAAAAAGCAGAAATGGGAGAAAACAGAAACAGAAGGAAGCAGGTCAGTGTAGCTAGGTCATAGCATGCATGAAAGAGAGTAAGTTATAATAACTGGGAAGGTAGAAAGGGTCACTTTGTGAAGAGTTTGAAATACTACGTGGAAAACTTTATATTACATCCTAGAGGTGAAAGGAGACCACTGAGTTTATCAAGTAAGGAAGTAACGTACACAGTGAGGCCCATACTTTAGGGAAATCACTTTAGCAACCAAATGGAAGGTGGGTGGAAGTGGGGTAAGACTCCAGACTAGGACAATTAAGAAGTGATTTCAATAATCCAGGTGAGAGGTGATAAAGGCCTGAAGTTGGGTGGTGACTGTGAGAGCAAAGAAGGAGACTTAAGAGATGTTGTGAAAGTAGAAACAATATTTGGCAATGGAGAGGATGTGTGGGGTGAATGAAGTCAAGGATGATGCCATAGTTGTAAACCTGGGTGGCTGAGAGGAGGATGTCAGCACCCTCAACAGTAATAGGGAAATTCAGAAGAGAGGAAGGCTTAGGAGTAACATGTTTTGAACACGTTGGGTATGAGATATTTATGGGTCATCCATTGAACTTGGGTATGTTAACCGGTTAGCTAAAGGTGAGGCATGGAAGTTAGGAAGTGCATGCATGGAAATCAGGGACAGGAGACCATGGTTCTAACCCAGAACACTACCATTTATTTGCTGTATGGCCTTAGACAAGTCACTACTTCTCTCTGTTCTATTTCCTCCTATGCAAAAAGGAGTTGGACTCACTGATCTCAAAGGATCTTTCCAGTGTTGACAATCTATGATTCTATGACTCATCAACATTGTATGACTTGTAAAAAAAAATCACTTCTAGGACTGTTTTCCCACATATAAAATAAAGGGGTTGAAGTAGGTGGTTTCTAAGGTCACTTCCAAACAAAACATTACAGTCCAGGGACCCTCTGGAGACACTATCTTTCCACCAAGTGGTGACTCTCACAGGGAAAGGGGGGAGGAACAAGATTTCAAGTACTACAGCAGGTTGGTTGAGGCAGGAGTAGTATTTTGTGACCTGAGGGATAAAGACTTAGAACACTCCTTTAAATCCATCACACTTGGCATAGTTTCCTCATCTGTAAAATGAGGGAAATGAACTAAATGATCTTGATCTCCCCCAAATACACACTCCAATAAAACCTCAGCTCCCATAGGGCCATCCCTGAATATTGATAGCAGAAGCAGGAAATTCAGTTACTTTAAGAGACTGGTTTTCTTTGGTGACTAACTAGAGAGTGCCAAGTTAGGAGGCATTCCTTCCTTTCTGAGTAATCTTAGAGGTGGAGTGTAAGCCAAACCCTCCATTAATGGATTACAAGGCAGAAAGACCTAAATATCATAGCACTACACCTATCTAACTCATTTGATCCTTGCAACAACCCTGGCAGGTAAGTGCTATTATTATACCCATTTTATAGATGAGGAAACCAAAGCTGAGAAATGTTAAGTGACTTGCCCAAGGTCACACAGAAAATAAGTGTCCAGATGGCATTTAAACTCAGATCTTGACTCCAAGTTCATCTCTCTTACCCACTGTGCCATCAAGAGTGAGTGCTTATCACCGGTCACTCAATTTGGAGAGATTTTAGGCTATAAATCACAGTTTTCTTTAGAGGGGCAAAAGGCATACAAACAATAATAAGTCAAGGGGCTGGGATGAGGGCTTAGGGGGTACAGGACCAAAAAGAAAGTCAAGTCATTAGCAGTCAAGAGAGGAGAATATAATACTGAAGCAAGGTAATATAGCTCAAGCAAGAGCTTTTTATAGTCTTCCTGTGCAGGCAGAAAGGAAATAATACCAAGCCAAGAGTAACCCTGACCTTAAGCCCATGGTGGGGAAAAAGAAGATAAAAATGCTTATATTCTATCTGATTGGAGGAAGGAGTGAGGAAGAGGTAGCTTAAAGGCAGATCCTCCCAATTCCTTGACTATATGCAGTCTCCACTTAAAAGCTGTCAAATGCTGGGACAGCTAGGTGGCGCAGTGGATAGAGCACCCGCCCTGAAGTAAGGAGAACCTGAGTTCAAATCCAGCCTCAGATTAAGCACTTGACACCAGCTGTGCGACCCTGGGCAAGTCACTTAACCCCAATTGCCTAAAAATATTTTAAAAAATAAAATAAAAAGTTGTCAAATGCTAATGTTTAATCTGTTGGCATCTCCAGGTCAGATCCACATAGATAACAACACAAGAAAACCCTTCATTTAACAAAAGATTTCCAACTCCAGTAGCTACCCAACTTACTCAAGCAACAGAAAATATAAACATTTGAAATTTCCAAGACAGTGAGCTCCATGAGGGAAATTATCACATCTTCAAACTTTGCATTTCTCCCCCACTGCCAATTCTCATAGCTGAGCAAGGGAGGAATCTGTTATTAAAAACAGAACAGAAAGTTACCTCAGAACACAGACAGAATGTCAGAACTGGAAGGGACCTTAAAACAAACAAACAAACAAATCTGACCTGGAAAAGAATTTAGAATGTAGAAATTTTTTAAAATAAATTTATTACTTATTTTTAACATTTATGTTTTCAAAAATTGAATTCCAAATTTTCTCCTTCCCTCCCACCCCTCCCCCATCTATTGAGAAGGCAAGCAATATGATAGCAATTATATATGTAAAGTCTTATACAAAACATATTCATATTGCTATTGCAAAAAAAGAAAAAAGAAAAAGGGCCAAAAAATAAAGGGAAAAAATTGTAATTCAATCTGCATTCTGAATTCATCAGATCTCTCTCTGGCAGTGGATAACATTTTTCATTATGGGTCCTTTGGAATTGTCCTGGATCATTGTCTTGATCAGAGTAGCTAAATCTTTCCCAGTAGGTCATCATTATAGTATTACTGTTACTACATACAATGTTCTCCTGGTTCTGCTCACTTTGCATCAGTTCATATAAGTCTTCCTGGGTTTTTCTGAAACCATCTGGCTCATCATTTCTCATAGCACAATAGTATTCCATCACATAGAACACAGAATATCAAGGCTGAATGAGACTATGTTTAGAACACAGGCTCTGAGAACTGAAAGGTGATCAATCATGGTGTGTCCAACTCCCTCATTTTAAAAGTGAAAAACTGAGACCTAGTGAAGGGAAGTGATTTGCCCTAGGTAAGAATCAAATCTAGCACTGGCCTTAGGTCCTTTGATTTGTCCAACTCTTTTTCCATGGTCTTTTCACTAATCATGGCACTTGTTTCTTTGTTCTTTCAGAAGTAAACACGAAAAAGCCTTTGGAAGATTATTACAAGAAACATATGGGTGTTTACACTGGGTATAAAGGTTCCCAAACCTGCTCCATGAGGAGGTCCTGATGGTTCTAATTAGCACCATCATCTGCAACTACCTAAGATCCTAGTATCTTTGGGTCAGCTTGATTTAGACAATATATCTGCTAAAGGGGGAAAAAAGTATTGTGTTGTAAAGCAGGATTAATGAAGACCAATTCAGAAACTTCCTTAGGGGAGAAGAAATGGCCTGACTCTTCCCTGTGGTACACACACCCAAAAAAAACAAACAAACAAACAAAAACTTCAGAAAACCTACATCTGGGGCATCCTAATCTCTGAGAAATAGCCACCAATTAAAGCTGTTACATGATATAAACATATTTGTGTACTCTCACTTCTATAGTCAAATGTTACTCATTCAAACCACTGGGAGAGGCAGCTTTAAAAAAAAAAAGTAAAATAATTCAGGCTTGTCACTGATTGTTTTATTATTCTAAAATCTCTTCAGTAATTCCAAATAGGCCATCAGAATAGGCCTAAGTAAAAGTCCTTACAGCATCTACTTAATGACCACACAAGTGTTTTATAATTAGCATAACACCTTAGTTGGGTATATTAAGAGTTGTTCAAATGCTTGGGGAAGTTTGGTGCTTTGAAACTGGTAAATATTACCACTTCCAATCCAATTTTGCAGTGTTTATTTGCTTGACGATAACTACATAGTGAAAGGAAAACCTTTGTAAAAATCTCTACCTGAATGCCTGAAAAGTCCTGATCAGTGGACTTGAATGAAGTTTAATGAAAGCCTGGGGGAGGTGGGTGGGAAGTGAGATAGTGAACTCTTTTAACAGGTGGTGTGTGTTTCAAGCACCAGGTGCCAGGCTGGATTAGATGATCACAAAGTCACTTTTGACTCCAAGTATGATTCTATGCATTTTATTGGAATCTCTTTTTTTTTTAATAATGTATGTAGATTGTTTCCATTTGGAGTTTATTGTGGCATTTGGTAAATAATGAGAAGCAACAGCGGTATAACAGCTAAAAAGCTAGCCTCATTTGGGAAGAACAAGATTCACATCCTGCCTCTGGTCCATACTGGCTTGTCCTGGGCAAGTCACCTCACCTGTGTGCTGGGCAACTCTAAAACTATGTTTGCTTCTGGATCGAGCTCGTCTCCCCTTAGAATGCACTCTTTTCTCACTTCCAACTCTTATCATTCTAGAGGGAATCCTTTTCTGATATTCAGTTGTCAGTACCTTCCCACCAACACTGTGTATTATCTTCTGTACGCCCTGAATTTATTCATCTGTGACCATGACATATTCTCCACCACTTGTAAAATGTAAACTCTTTGAGGTTAAGGACAATCCAGGGTCCAGCACAGTTGCTGGCACATTCTAAGCTTATTAAATTTTTTTTGATTGAAGAATTCAGACTCAAGGAAAAAATGAATTTTGTCCTTGCTGATGGTATCACTAAATCAAACTTTCTGGGAAGAGAGGGAGAGAAGGTTCTTTGGGAAAATGCCCTCAGGAGTTTGATCTTATCAGATCTTCTTGGCTTCCAGATAGGAAGGAAAAGAAAGTATTTGCTAGACCTTGGGGCATTACTCATAATTTTCAGCAATGGTTTCCGTGTGCCAGGGGTTCCTGAGAACAGGCTTGAAAGCTGGAAAAGTCCTTATAGATCATATATCACAGATTTAGAACTGGAAGGAACCTTAAAAGGTCATTGAGTCCAACACTCAAATTTGAGATGACTTGCCCAAGATTATACAGGTGGGAAGTATTAGAGACAGGATTTGAACCCAGGCCCAAATCTATCTATTACAACAAGTCCTTTATTTTGAGGGTGTGAGGAAGCAATCAGGGTTAAATAACTTGCCCCAGCTCATGTAGTTAGTAAATGTCTGAAGCTGGATTTGAACTCGGGTCCTCCTGACTCTAGGGCCAGTGTTCTAATCTAGTGCACCACCTAACTGCTCCAACTCCCTTTATTTTCTAAAGTCCCAAAAAGGTGAAGTGAATTCACGTCTTCTCATTCCAAATCTGTGGCCAGGTCTAATTGAAAATGAGATGAAGATAGAAAGTAAATTCAATTAATTTTATAGAACATCACCAGAAAGGAGGTTAAGAAATCATTTAATCTCATTTTCTGTCCTTCATTAACTCTTCTCACCCTTTGTTCAAAACTTTAAACTGGCATACTTACTGTTCCCCACATACAACACTCCATCTTCCACTTCTAGTCTTTGTCCAAGTTATCCACTAATCCTCTCCATCCTCATCTCTGCTGTGTAGAATCCTTAGCTTCCTCCCAAGTAGATTGTGGGCTACCTCCTAGATTCTCCTAGTAGTCAGCACTTCTTCTCCTTCCCTGGAAATTACTTTGTATTTACTCATATGTGCACATGCTATTTGTCCTCATTAGAACATAAGCTCTTCCAAGGCAGGGGAGGTTTTATTTCTATCTTGTATCACTTGGACCAGTGCAATATCTGAAACGTAGTAGGTAACTAATAAATGCCTGTTGAATTGAATAGGGGCAGAAGCATGCCAAATCTGCCCCCAAGGTGAACCTATACCTATTTTTCAACACCTACCATATAGAAGGGTTCACAGCTTCCCAATGTTTATCCACCTTTGCTATTGGAAGGTTCTTCTTTATGTCTAACCTACATCCTCCATGACACAAGGTAAATCCACTAGAATGTGTGGAGGAAAGAACATTTAAGAAATAAAAAGTCAGATGGTTTCACAGGAGACTTTTAATAGAGAAATTCAATTTGAAAAATGATCATTTGGCCACTTAACATGTCTTTTGTCCCAAATAGCAGGCTTGAAACACAAATCTCTGTGGGTGACATCTGGGTGTGACCTCTTCTCTGCACCCTGCACTCATCAGTAATGCAGATGTTACTACCTTTGTGAATAATTCTCTCTCTTTTTTGACACAAAACCCAAGGATGAGGTCAGCAGAATGAATTCTCAGTGTAGCCTACTGACTGACAGGGAATGTGTCCCCTCCCCTGTTGCCCTGGAAACATTTCCTCCTCAGTCCTGACTACAGAAAATAAAAAATGACAACAGGAATCCCACAGGTAAGACTCCACTGGTGCTTTACAATGTTCAGAGCATTTTCACATCCGTTCCCTCATTTGATTCCCCACAATAGCAGGCAAGACAGGCCATTATATGCCTGCTGCACCAAAGGGAAAACTGAATCTCCAAGAGACTAAGTCAGCAAAGCTGGGTCTAGAACACAGCTTAGCAGTTGGTATCAGTCCCGCCCTCATTCTCCTGGGCCAATCTTGCTCCTATATCCTCATTCCCCAAAACCAGTAACCTAACCTTCGAAATCTTCTCACTCCAAGAGAAGCCCCTAGAACTCACTCAAGTCAAGCCCAACTGAAACTAGCCCATCTGAGCCAAAAGCAAAACCTCCCCTTCACTTTGAAAGAAGGGCAGAATTTTGATCCGTGTCAAAGTGCAGAGTGAAAAGAGGAGGAGGGGAAAGAGAAAGGAGACATTCCAAATGGGGAGAAAGGCATGAACAAAGGTATTGAATTAGAAAAATGCAAGGCATGTGTTGAGGACCAGTTTGGCTAATGCACTGTGTTTAAGGGAGCAGCAATGGGAGATAAGGCTATAAAAAAAGATTATGGCCCTCTTAGAGAGGGCCTTGAATGCCAGGATGAGCAGCTCACAAGGATCAGAGTTGGAAAGGACTTCAGAGTTCATCCAACTCAATCCTCTCATTTTGTACAGTAGAAAATGAAGGAACATACCCAAGGTCCCACAAGAAGTTAAGTGAAAGAACCCAAGTCCTCTGATCCCAGACCCAGAACTCTTTCCACTTTACCATGCTCAGGCACTATCCTATGGGCAATGTCAGCACAAGGCCACCTCTAGGATACCCAGAGAGGGCCTATGTAATTCAGAGGAAGGCCCTTCACTTTAGTGCCTAGGAATAAACAAAGCAAAGAATGAATCTTGAAGCTGGGCCCTTTCACAACCACCAACAGAAACATTTGCAAGCTTGGAGCACAGTGCTCAACTTCACAGTTGGAAGAGCTGTTTCAACAGACTCTGCAGATGTGCAGGGGATGCTATCTGGGCTGAAGACTTCTTCTTCCCAATGGTGCTGCGCCAAATGGTCCAAGGGTGCAGATGGCCCCTCCAGTCTGCGGCTTGCAGTTGGGCTCTCCTTGGCAGCAGACTCTATACCTCAGGTCCTTACTCCAGACCAGCACTCTGGCCTCTGCAGCCATCACCTCACCGAGGGGGAACAGCACCCAGCCCCTAGGATGTGAGTCTCAATGAACTGGCAGGGGCAGGGCCCCTGCACTGACTCGGCATGCCTTGATGCTACTGTAGTCTCAGGGAGCTGATTGGTCACCAACAGCCTGACGTATAATCCACCAAAGACCACCAGCATCTGCCGGGCCATCACCTGGGATGAATCAGAAAGCATCGTAAGTGTTGCTTTGACAGACACCTAGGCAGACATCCAGATGAGGGAGGCAAGAGCAGTGGAACAACACGCCTTCCAACTCCCCACACCAGGGATAATTTGGAACAGCAAGCTACAGAGAAAGGGCATGCCAAGCAAATTAGCACACTTTTGGTCTTCCTTTTAAGAAAACCAGCCACATGAAAATCTAGACCGGCAGAGAAGAAAAACTGGGTGGGGAGGCAGGAGGGGGAGCATGCAGGATAATTCCGGGTTCTTTGCTTTACAAAAGGTACCCTAGACACTTAGAATGAGATTCAATTTATGAAAATTAAACTTTCAACTTTTCACGAATCCACTGGGGTCTAGATACAAGTACACATGCAGTATAGAAAGGATTTCAGGGGAATGATCCATTTCTTTTTATAACTTCAACAAGCCCCAAAGAAGAAAAGAAGGGGTTGATTCAAGAATGGCCTCTGACACCAGGCGATCTGGGGTTTTAATATAAGAAGGTTCAAAAATCTCAAATATTCTGATTCCCTAACTCAAAGGAACCCTTCTCCATCCAAAAAGCACTGACAGATTGAGAGCCTATTAGTGCAGTGGGGGGTAGGAGGGACACAACTATATACACGTTGCAACAATCTAATAGGAAGAGATAAGACAAGCACTTAAGTAAGTAAAATATAAAACCAAAAATGATACATGGAAAAAGAGAGGCACCAAGTGCTTTGAGAGCAGAGAGGAAAAGGGTGTTATTTCTGACTGTGAGACATCTGAGAAAGCTTCTCGGAAGTGGCACCCAACCTAGGTCTTGGAGTGAGCCACTGTGCAAAAATCCAAAATACACATCTCATCTATGGTGGGTCAACGGTGTTACCTTGCAGAATGAAGGCAACCTTAGAATACCAGCGAGAAGAGTCTTGCTCATCTCACTAGTGAATCCCACATAGAATCTCAGAATTTCACAGTGGGAAGGAACCTTCAAGGCCAGGTATTTTAGACACACATACAAAAAGGAATTCCTCTCCTCCTAAGAAAAGATGGAAGACACTCTTTTGCAAGAGTGGGGGGTCATGGGTTAGTTTTACTGAACAATTTTTTAAAAATTCTTAGTAATGGGATGGTTTTCTGGGTAGTAAAGGGGAGGAAGGATGTATTTGAAACTGAAGGTGATGTGAAAAAAACAGGAACCCCTTCTACCATATACCTGACAACTGGTCAACCAGTCTTTACTTAACTCCCTCTAGTGAGGAGCCCACTAGCTCCCTCCTGAGGCAGTTCACTCCATTTGGGGGATGGTATCATTGGTGGGGAGTTTTTCCTTACCTTGAACTGAAATTAGAAGGGTTCAAATCCTACCTTAGACACTTATTAGTTGAGTATGGCCCTGAGTGAGTCACTGAATCTACTTGAACCGTAGTTAACTCATCTGTAAAATGAGGGGGTTGAACTTAATGACCCTTAAGGCACTTCTGAACTCTAAATCTATAACTACAAATCTGCTTCAGTGGAATGTTTTTTGGAGCATTTATATAGCACCTACTGCGTGCCAGCCACTGTGCTAGGTGCTTTTTACAAATATTCTACCCTTTACTCTTTCCAAAAAGCAAAATAAAACTGCACCAAATACTTATGTCATCAAGAATTCAAGTTACCTTGTGTCCTCAAGATCATGACTATCAGAGGTAAACAAAATACCCAACTACCCTCCAAGGTGGGGTCTGACCCCCACGGCCTCTCTGAGAAATGATAATTACCTCTGGTGCAGCCTCTGGAATGAGGTGGTGAAGAACCATCCGTGTGACCACTCCTTTCCTTGCCTCTGTCTCACCACTGGGCAGCAGAGGAGATTCCTCAGCCAGCCTCTCATTCTCTTCTCCCTCTTCCTGGGCAGGGCTCACCACGGTCTCCACAACCACTTGGAACTGGTTCAGGCGATGTCTTAGCATTGACTGCAGAGAAAGCCAGAGAGCATACGTGGGCCAGCTGTTGAATTTGAGAGTCTTTAAAGAAGTGCCCATTGCTTCTTTGGCTCACATCTGAGTGAGGCCAGAAAGCACAAGAGAAGCTGGCCCAAACCCTGCCTGTCTTTGTCTATATCACCTCCAGAAAACCTGGAAACAGAAAGACTGGATACATACAGACTGGCTACCTAAATGAGAAGCAGCATGGTCCGATGGACAGGCCACAGGACACCTCCTCTTAATCACAAGACCTGGATGCCCTAGGCTGAACCAATCATGGGCTCTTGGACAGGTCATTCAACTCCTCACACAAAAATAGGGTTGAGACAACCTACCCTGCCTTCCTGACAAGACTGCTATGATCAAAAAAGAAGGAAAAAATTTTATATAAAGACACTTCGAAAAGTTAAACGCATTAGAGGAATGTAAGATATTATTTAATGATTTAAAGCTAGTTCCTTTTCCATTTAATTAGGTAAGTGCCCTTGCTAGGGCAGCTAGGTGGCACAGTGGGATAGAGTGCCAGGCCTGGAGTTAAGAAGACTTATCTTCCTGAGTTCAAATCTGGTCTCAGACACTTGCCAGGTGTGTGACCCTGGGCAAGTCACTTAACCCTGCTTGCCCCCAGTTTCCTTATTTATAAAAAATGAGCTAGAGAAGGAAATTGCAAACCGCTCCAGTATCTTTGCCAAGAAAACCCCAAATGAGGTCATGAAGAGTATCAGACACTACTGAAATGCTTGAACAACATATGTGTCAGCAAAGAAAATTTAAGTTGGAAATATAGAATTCCTAACCCAAAAGGGCCCTCAGAGACCATAGAATTCAATCCCTTCATTTCAAATATGAGGTGATTAGAGGACTCACCTAAGGTCACACATCAAGTTGGGACAGACTTTCGTGCTAGTCTTACATGAGTCGAACACATTGACAGGCTGGTTACCCTGATGTGATATTAAGGTAGGGGCCCGTGTATCTAGTGAGCAGATTCTCAGACAATTCCCTGGCCCTTCAATGTGAAATGAACACCTCTGAAAAACTAAGGACTGGCCTTGATGATCTCAAAGGTCCCTTCCAGCCCTAAATCTGCAATCCTCTACTGAGATCTTCAGATCCTAGATTTAGAATTGCAAGGGACCTCTGATATCATCCAGCCCAACCCCCTCATTTTACAACTAACAAAACTGAGGCCCAGAGTGGAGAAAGGATTTGCCCAAAGTCACACAGCAAAACTAGGATTCGAAACCAGGTCCTCTCTCTTACTCTAGCAACCTTCCCATTACACAACAGATACAGCTTTGACAGGTGGGGATGCCCTCCAACATCAGCTTGATGTATTTCCTTATTCCCCCAACCCAGAGTCATACCAGAATGGTCAGTCATTCCAACCATTCTATGGGTTGGTTACCTCTTGACTGGTCTTCAGTTCTCGGATACAGTCTGATAAAGACTGGAGACAGCTCTCTAAGTGGAAGTAAACAAACCAAAGCTGGAGAGGACAGAAGAGAAAAGAAGAGAGCATCAGCTTGGCTCCCGGCCTCCACACCCCACTCACTATGTGCTCTTTCCCACTGTTCTCCCCTTGCATTGTCTTCATTTCAATATTGAAAACAGACCTTTTACATGAAAACTTTCTGTTTCACTGCACTCTCTGTGGCAGGAACACACCATTCTGTTCTCTGCCTGTGTATTGCTCTATAATTAACTCTAATTTTTTTGGCAAGTAGAAAATTTGCTTTTCATAAAACTGAAAAACGTCCAATCCTGTTGGTGAAGGGTTTTCATCTGCTATTAAATTAGTAGGCATCCTACCAATTAAAGAAGGACCAGGAGCATCAATTGATGCCAAAAAAAATTTATTATAATTATACTTCGAAATAAGAATTTTTATCCTATCTCTATCTTCTTTGCCTTATGGATATAAAAAAAAAATACACTGCATCAATGGGCATAACTTGGTCCTTGGAGATAATCTTAAATCTGTATCCTTTAATGTTAAAAGAAAAGACTTACCTTGAGACAACATATCTGCCGTTACCATAATGTATTAACAAGCAATACAATGGAAGGGATCTTGGCATAGTGAATGGAGCACTAGACTTGGAGTTGGGAAGTCCTGGGTTCAGATCCTACAGCCAACACTTACCAGCCATGTAACCATGGGCTGAATTCCGTAACTCTCTCTGAGCCTTGGCTTCCTCATCTGTAAAATGATGAGGATAGACTTGACCCATGAAGTCCCTTCTAGTTCTAGATCCTTGATCCTTGAACTGAATTGAACCACTTCATTTTACAGATGAAGAAACCAAGGCCCCTAGACAATAAGTGATTCGCCCAAAGTAACAAAAGTATTAAACAGCAGGGGCTGTTTAATCTAATCCAAATCCAGGGATCTTTTCTTGTCTCCAAACCTCATCTTTAGATCCACTTCAGAGAAAAGAAGCAGTTTCATATCCTTTGCCCAACTATCCAGGGTGTTCATCCATTGGATGAGAACGCCCTTTCTCGTCTTCTTAGACAGAGACCTGATCAGCTGGGATGAATCATTCAGAGAAGTGATACCTGCAGTACAGTCTGGCAGCCCTCCACCTCACCAGTCACTCCCAGAAGCACGTGGTACGGCATCAAGGTTTCGTTGGCAGCTGCCAGACGGAGATCTGTATTCGTGTTTGCCTGTGAACCCAACATTCAAGTGATATAGCAGGACACTTGTCCCAGGGAAGCTCTTAAACCACACAAGTAAACCTATCTTAACACAAGCTGTTATTACACAGACTCAGAGAGGGTACGGTGGACCAAATGGCAGCCCCTAAATAAAAGAACCCCACGACAATCTAACATAACACACTGAGACCAATAAGTAAATACCTCCCTACCATCTTTTTTCCTTCCTTTGCCCTGTCCTGCCCATTCCCTGAATGTGACCTCCTCCTCAGTCTATCCTTCCCACATTGTGGTCACAATAATCATTCTTATACACAGATTTATTCCTGTGATGCCTCTGTTCTTCCCTACTGCCCATATTCAAAGAAGCATATTCAAAATCTCTTTTTTCCCTAGTTTCCCTAGGAATATTAAGAAATAAATTTTCTCTCTAAAGCCCTTACCAGACTTCTGGGAAAAGCCCATAGGAAAAGTAGGTGATAGGTCAAGAACAAAATTAGGGGGCAGCTAGATAGAGCACTGGCCCTGGGTTCAGAGGACTTGAGTTCAAATATGGCCTCAGACACATAACACTTACTAACTGTGTGACCCTAGGCAAGTCACTTAGCCCCATTATCTAGCCAAAAAAAGAAAAAGAAAAAGAAAAAAATTAGGCTTTTTTTAGAGAAATAGAGGAAGGGTAGTACCAAACCTTTTAACAAAGGGTAAGCATGGTCTGGTTCATCCCTATAGCCCCATCCACCAGAAGTGATAAGAGCTAGAACCCTCCCTTCTCTATTGAGAAAGGATTAAGATGTGTGGAAGGACAAGAAGTCTGGTGGTTTGGCTCCAGGAGTGAAGGGAATGATCCAGAAGGGAACAAAAGGACTTGATTAATCAACAGTTTTGGACCCTTAACACAGACTGTATATTTAAATTATTTTGTATATTTAAATTATTATTACGTACAAAAAATCCTTTAAGATTCCTATAATGCTACCTGAAATCTTCTTGGGGCAAGGAGTCATGTCAGAGGGAATGGGAGATATAGGCAGCTGGGTGGTACAGGGGATAATGTCCTCTGAAGACCCTTTCCACTCTGAAATGATGCACCTTATTCTTTGGATTCCCTTACAGTACCAAGCACTCTGGACACTGTGCTTGGAGTAGGATAGAAGAGAGGGACTGGACCTATGTACGCAGGGAATTCTCAGATAAGCAAGCTTTCCATTAATGTAGGTCAGTACCCCCTCTACAATATATACTCATGAAGAGTTGTCTAGACACTGAGAGGTCAAGTGACTTGACCTGAAACACTGGCTCACACTCCTGTTCAGTCATGTCCAACTCTTCATGACTCCATGGACCAATTGTCAATGGAGTTTTCTTGGCAAAGATACTGGAATGGTCTGCTGTGTCTTTCTCCAGTCAAATGACTTCCCAGGGTCATAGAGCTATTGTAAGTATGTGAGGCTGGATCTGAACTCAGGTCTTCTTGATTCCAGGCCCAGTGCTTTATCCATTGTACCACTGACCAAAGCTTAGTTTCCTCACCTATAAATGAGAGAATTGGGCTAGATGATCTCTCAAGGTCTAAATTTATGATCCTATAATTCCTAGAACACTGAGCAGAGACCAGGTCTTATCTAAACTTGGCATCTCTCTCAGCTCATTAGATGTTTAATTAATATTTTCAATGGTTAAATAAATATCCACTGCTGACAAACTGTTCCCCTCAAAGAATAGGTTTAAAACAGACAAATAATAAATAAACAAATTAATAAGTTTAAGTTTCAAATTCAGCCTGGAAGAGAACTGGGAGATTCCAGTCAATACTTACAAAATACCTACCTACTGTGCTAAGCCATGTGGGCGGGAGACAGAAAAGGGGAATTAGCATCCATCTTAAAAAGACCTAGAGTTGTGTTTTCCATGCTCTTCAGGGAGGGAGGGCTATAAATAGTATTCACTTTACAGCAATGTCTCCCTTACCTTCCTTTGGTGCCAGTCAAAGATGAGAATGAGAATGATGGTAGCTAATACAGTGCCTAGGGTCACAAGAACCACAGCTGCCCAGTGTCTTCCCAAAGAAAACATCTGGCTGGTGGAATACAGATTAGCCCACATTGCTATGTAGAAAACCTACAGGAATACAAAGGTATCATGTACTCAAATAACCAGAAAATAAATAAAGCAGAAAATTCATCATCAGCATCATCAGCATCACTGGTCTCCAGAGAGTACTTTAAAGCAATGGTTCTCCAAAGGCTTGCCCTAGCACATCCACGTGCCATGAGTTGCATGGAACTCACTTATAACTATACACACCTATGCAAGTCAGAAAGAATAATACCATTTAGTGAACAAAAAACAAAATCGAGAACCAAGGTTATAAAGTTTACAAAGTGCTTCGCATATCTAATCTCATTTGACCCTGGCAACAACCTTTGGAGAACTGGGGTATTATTATTCTCATTGCATAGATAAGGAAACAGAAGCTAGTAAGTGTCAGAGGTGGGAGCCCTTTGGTCTAAGTGCTTTATCCACATCCTCTATCCATGGTATCACACAGCCCCTTCCAGAAAAAAATTAACCCTGAGAAGAAAAGTAGTCACTGTTTTTTATAGCACTGTCCCACTTCAAGAAAGTATAAAGTATCAAAGTAATCATAAAATGAAATTTATATCTAACGAAACACAAGAGAGGGGAGGGAGCCTACAAGCACACGAGCAGAGGGGGTAGCCTGGTCTCTAAATATCCCAGCTCAGTGTCTCAACACCAAAAGGCGAGTCACAAGACAAGCACCCACAGGATTACTGCAGTACCATAAGTATAATATAATGGGAATAGCAATGGATTTGGAGTCAGGGACCTGGGTTCGAGTCCCACCTCACCTCTGCCACTCACTACCTCTGTGATTTTGGGCAAGACCATTAACTTCTCAAGATTATGCAAAATGAGGAGGTAAAACTAGTTCATAAATCTGTGAACCTATTGGCCTGAAATCTCATCAAAACTGGTGCTACCTCCAACAAGGTAGACCACAACCCTTCTATAACTTCACAGATGATCTTGGAAAGTTTCTTGTGCCAAGAATGCATCCCTCACAGGCCAACCTGGTGATCAGTCTGCAAATTTGGCTAGGCTGCTCCTCAACTGACAGAGTGGAGAGAGCACCGGACTTAAGTCAGGAAGACTTGGGTGGTTCATATTACGCCTCTGTATGCCCTGGAGGAATCATTTAACTGCTCTGAGCCTCAGTATCCTAATCCTGAAATGATAAAAACCAGACACAATGACCTCTTAAATCACTTCCAGATCTAAACCTATGCTGCTATGATTCACTGGAGAACCCAAAATTAGCACTTTCCCATCTAGGTAGGACTGGCCTGAGTTTGGACTCCATTAGCATAGAATTCGAGAACCTAGGGTCACCTACTTGCCATGACAAGGCATAAAGCTAAACCCTATGTCGGGAGTGGAACAACAATGATCCAAGTCTGCAAAATCTTGAAGCTGGGGTGTGGGTGGGGGATAGATTAGTTTAATGGAATAAAAGGTACTTTTAGGATAACTAAAATTAAGGATATCCTGCTTCACACTTCAGGGCATAGAAGGTAGAGAAATTTATTGCTGCCCACAAGCTATACAAGTTAAAAATACGTATGTGGAAGATTTAAAAAGCTATATAAATGTAGAGTCTATAATAAAAATAGCGTGTAAAGAACACAGAAAGAACACCGAGCTTGGACTCAGAATCATGTGGGTAGCTTCCCTACCTTCTCTCCACCACCCTTCTCACTCCAACTCCATCTGCCTCAAGAGCCAAAGGCTGGATTTCCCCTGTGCCAGAAAGCCCCAAGTTGAGGGGCAAGCATGCCCACACTAGAAAAGAGTAGGTATCTTCCAAAGGATCTTACGCATTCACAGCCTCCATCACTCACTTCAACAGACTTTGTGGAAGCCCTACTGAATTCAACGACGTCTGCTTCAAATATGCCTCCCTTTAGCATGTGGTAATGGTCTCTTCACACAAGAGGAACAAGTCTAGGGGTAGTCAGGGAATAGACTCGAATCCTTACCACAGCAATGGCCAGCTGGAAAGGCCTGGAGTTATAGAACATGAATCTTCTCACTTGGGGATCTAAGATGGCGTTCTCAATTAAACTCCTGTACTTCTCTGTTGGCACCTGCTCAAGAACCCAAAAGAGAAACCGTGTTTGACTTCAGCCTGAGAGATAGCCCCCTCACCTCCCTGTCTGGGAAAAGTAGAGGACGGTGCTTTCATTCACCTGACTACTTACAACCATAGGTAACAGTGGACACTCGAAAGAATAGGGATGGGCCAGGACACTAGGGCTTATTTAAGATGTCAAGTAGACATAAGAAGGCCAATGGAACTATATCACTGCTGAATTTGACTTTAAAAAGGGAAGGGACAGAATAAGAATTTACACAGAGTCTATCATATACCCAGCACTGTGTTAATCACTTTTCACAATTATCATCAAACCTAGTTCTAGATTATTAAAAGTTTTAGGTGTCCTCATTCAGTGCCTCAGGAACACCAGCACCTACTCCTACCTTCTCAATCACTGGTCCTGGGACAGTGAGGCAACAACTCCCACCCCTTCTCCTCACTCTAGCACCACAGGAAGGTTGAATCTACTCTGTCCTTGGTTCCACTCTAATGCTGCACCCCTTCCTTAATCAATCAGTCAATAAACAATTTATTAAGTGCCTACTAAGTGCTGGGCATCATGCTAAGATTCCTTACTACCAAGGTTCCCTGGATTAGATTTGGAAATCCATGCCTAATGCCATATATGAAGGGCAGACCTTCTCTGCCCTGCTTTACCAAACCATACTCAAAAAAAAAACAGGACCCATCCCACCATACCCATAACACCGATCCTTATCTCCTTACCCAGGAGTAATCTCATACGTCAGGACCTCCTCCAAGAGTGAGGCCTCCTGCCACAGGTCCAACCAGCAGCCCTACACACAATCCAGGAGCATGCTACCTTCTAATTGTGCATCATCTCCCGCCATCTTGAGTGGAGGCAAAGGTCCTGGGACTGAATGCACTCTCTGAAACCCCAATTCTACCACTGACAAAATGTACTTCATCTTAGACCTGTTCTTCTCACACCCCTTGTCATTCCTTGCCCTCACAGGACTCTGGCTGTATCCAGATACACAGCATCCCTAGCCTCCCTCCTCAGTACTTGGATGCATTTTTTTCTTCTCTATCTTCCAGTGAGGCAGCATAGTATGGGAGGCAAGCATGCTGGACTTGGAAACAGGCTAATCTGGGTTCCAAACCCACCTCAGATACTTAGTAGCTGTGCAACCCAATGTAAGTCATGTAACCTCTCCCAGCTTCAGTTTACTCATTTGTAAAAGAAAATGAGGGGAAAGGACTCCATAACCTCTAACGCTCCTTCCAACACACAGGCCAAAAGAAGAGTTGGCATATTCCTTTCCTCCTTGCCACTTCAGACTTTTCCTCCGATGATTCCAAATGTCTGCACTGTCCTCTTTAATTCCTTATTGCAGTCTTCTTCTCCCTCTTTTCTCAAATTGAGCATAACTCTTACACTACAGTCTTCCTCTCTACATTAACACCTAAGTGGAAATTCACTGTTCAGGTAGACGTCCCTTTGAATAATTTGGCCTCCAGATTCATCAACTTCCTCAGTGCCCCATGGACTCAACTTTATTACAACTAAAACAGGACACCAAGATGGTCACACTCTTGCTCTCACTATCACTCACAACTATTCTGCCTTGATTCAGGAAGACCTGAGTTCAAATCTGGCCTCAGACACTTACTAGCTGTGTGACCCTGGGCAAGTCACTTAACTGCTGTCTGCCTCAGTTTCCTCAACTGTAAAATGGGGATAATAACAGCACCTGCTTCCTAGGGCTGACGTGCAGATCGAATGAGATAATATTTGCAAAGCACTTGGCATAGTGCCTGGCATATATTATGCATTTAATAAATGCTTGTTCCTTCCTTACCTCCCTCCCTTCTGTCTACCCCCTCTTCTACAATCAAATGTCAACCACACCAGTTCAGGCCTTCATAACTGCTTACCTGGACCTTCCTAAATGAGCTCCTTGTTTCCCTCCTCTCCCTTTTCCAACTCATCCTCCAAGTAACTAACCTTTCTAAAGCGAAAGTCTGACCATGTCAGGTCAGGCTTCCTGCTCAGAATCCCTCAGTAGATATAGCTACCATTTACATAACATTTCTATGTGCCAGGCACTGTGCTAAGCACTTTATAATTACTGTCTCATCTGATCCTCACAACAATCCCAGGAAGTAGGTACTATTATTCTCCCCATTTTACAGATGAGGAAACTAAGCCAAATTGATTAAGTGACTTGCCCAGGGTCACACAGCCAGTAAGTATGCCTACCAAAGCAGCTGTGATCTTATAAGCAAATGACCTCCCTCCAGACCTCAGTTTCCTCATTTGTAAAATGAAAAGCTCTCAGATGACCTCTAAGATCTTATAATCTAGAGTTCTGGGCCTATCCAGGCCTAACAGAATGGTCTGACTCACCTGGATCCCCCAGGTCTTCAATTTCTCCTGGGAGACTTCTATGTTAAAGGAGGCTGCTTCACAGGTACTGTCAGTACTCAGGACCATGAGGAGCTGGCCATTGGTAAGTCCTGAGATGGGAAGAGAAAGGAGAGTCTGAGTCAGTGAGCGTGGCACATTATGCATGATTTGCCCTCCGTGATTCACGGTATCTTTGTGGAAACCAAACAATAGCTGATATCTGGAGAAAATTATGAATTCTTCCAGTGGGGCTAAGGGTCATAAGACTGACAGCTGGAAGGGACCTCAGAGGCTATCATGTCCAACTCCCTCAGAAACTGAGGCCTACAGATGTTCAGTGATTCACCCAATGTCACATAGAAAGTACATTTCAGAGTCATGATTCGGGAGCACAGCCATCTGACTCCAAATCCAGGGCTCTCTGCACATCACCGATTGAGCCCAACCATCTAAATCTACATTTTCATACTATAACTCAGTTTGGTATTACAAGGCCCTGAAGGGGGAGGGGGAAGAGAACAAGCATTTATTATGCGTTTACTATGTGTGTGCCAAGCTCTACACTAAGGGCTTTACAAATATTTTTATTTGATCCTCTCAGCAGTTCTGAGAAGTAGGTGCTGTTATTATCTCTGTTTTACAGTTGAGGAAACTGAGGCATACAGAGGTTAAGTGATATCTCTGAGGTGTCACATAACTGGTGTCTGAGGCTGGATTTGAATTCATGTCTTCCTGACCCTAGGTCCAGTCACCATCTACTACGGCAACTTAGGTGCCCTGAAATGTCTTTTGACTCATCAAACAAAATGAACAATAAATAAAAATGAAATCACATTCAATAGAATTGTGTTGCTAAGGTTCATTTTAAATCTTGCTGGATAAACATGAGTTTACTATTTGTTGGCAAAATGGTTCAAGAAATCTAGATGGGGGGAAAGGCTGGAGGAAGAGGCAAGGAACCTTACCATAAAGAACAGAGAATACTCTCATTTCCATTTTATTAACTCCTTCCCTGGAGTTCTAGAGAAAGGAAGGAGTCAGGAGGGCTGGGAGGTTTCAGGGTGGGGAGACAGACATACAGGAGGTCCAGATAAGAGGAAGGATATAGGAGAAAGTAGGCCTTGGGCTCAAAAGTGAAACTACTTTTTATAAGGTTTATATCTATAATTGATTTATAAATGAAGGTTGATCAACAAGTCAGCATGTTTCAAATAGCCCACTGGAGGGGACAAGAAGGACCTGAATGACACTTATAATTAGGAAAAACAAACACAGAAGCCCATTTTACATAACTATGAATCTTTCAACCAGAAATTACTACAAAGGAGCTATATGGGAAGCAATACGTTATGGTGGAAAAAATAATTTAGAGTCAAAGGACCTGGGTTCAAATCCTGACTCTACCTGGGTAACCTTAGGCAAATCACTTAACTTTTCTAGGCCTTCCTTTTCTTTTTTTTTCCTATGTAGGAAATTTTTTTTTAAATTTTATTAATTTATTTTGATTTATCAACAATCACTTCCATATGCTTTTAAGTTGAAAATTTTTCTCCCCCTTCCTCCCCCCCACCCTCCCCAAGACGGCACACAATCTGATATAGGCTTTACATTTACATACCCATGAAACATATTTTCACATTAGTGAAGTTGTAAGTAAAAATTAAAACCAATAGGAGGAACCATCAGAAAGATGAAACAAAACTCAACAGAAGGTAAAAATAAGTGATAGAGATTTGACTTCCATAGTTCTTTCTTTGGATGTGGATAGCATTTTCCATCCTGAGGCCTCTGAAGATGTCTTAGATCCTTGTAATGCTGAGAAGGGTTCCGTTTAACAATATTAGTCATTGCATAACGGGGCTGCTATTGTATACAAAGTCCTCTTGGTTCTGCTCACTTCACTCAGCATCAGACCATATAAGTCTTTCCAGGTTTTTCTGAAGTCAGCCTGTTCATCATAGGCCTTCCTTTCCTCATCTACAAAATGAAGGGGTTGGACTGGATGACTTCCAATGTCCTTTTCTAGATCAACGATTCTATGATCTTATGAAGTCTTACCTCATCATTCTACTCTCTCCAGTGGAAGTTCTGATGGAGACTGAAATGGCCGAAAGATGCCAAGAGAAAAAGGGAAGCGAAGGAAGCAGAGCCCCTGTAATCCCAGAAACTAGATTCTTTATCCCTAAATAGAATCTACTGCATAAAGTTCCCTCCACAATCTGGATCCAACCTATCCTTCCAGCCTTATTTCTCCTCCCTCCCAGACATGGCCTAAAGATGCTCAGCCAAAGTGGATTACTCTTCATCCTTGGGCAGGGCACCACCATGCACCCAGGTACACAACCTTGGAACCGAACTCAACTCTCTCTCAACCCCCAAAAGTCATCCGTTGCCAAGGCTTATCTATTTGATCACCATGTCTCTCACATGCGTCCCCTCCTCTCATCTTATATGGCCACCACTCTAGTTTAGGCCTTCATCACCTCTCCCCTGGGGCAGCTAGGTTGGTGCAGTGGATAGAGTACTAGGCCTGAAGTCAGGAAGGCTTATCTTCCTGAGTTAAAATCTGGCCTCAGATACTAGCTGGTGACCCTGGGCAAGTCACTTAACCCAACTTGCCTCAGTTTCTTCCTCTGTAAAATGAGCCAGAGAAGGAAACGGCAAATCAATCTGGTGTCTGCCTAGAAAACCCCAAATGATTGAACAACCTCTCCCCTGAGCTACCGACATAACTTCCTATTTGGTCTCCATGCTTCCAGTCTCTACCTTCTATAATCCATCCTCCACACAGCTACCAGATTGATATCCCTAAAATTCAATTCTGATGGTGTCAACCCCTCCTCAAAAGACTTCAGTGGCTCCCTTTTGCCCACAGGCTAAAATACATGTTCTTTGATTTGGTATTTAAAGACCTTTACAATCTGGCTCTAGCCTATCTTCCTAGATACATCACTCCCATTCATGCATTCTACGTTCCAGCCAAATTAGCTACTTGCTCTTTCCCATACCTGGTGTTCCATCCCACCTCCTTGCCTTTGCACTTCTCAGGCCCCGAATACATACCTCCCTCATTTTCACCTTCCAGAATCCCTAGCTTCCTACCAAGTACAGTTCAAGTGCTGACCCCTACATGAAGACTTTCCCGATCATTGCCCAGCTGCTAGTCTCTGACACCTCCCACCAAAATAAAAGTCCTGGTATTTACTTATATAAGTATGTGGATGTTTGTCTCCAATTGAATGTTAGCTCCTTGAAAGCAGAGGCTATTCTGGTTTTGTATTTGTATACCCAGCAACTAATATAGCACCCAGAACATTATAAATAATTAATAAACTCCTGGTGATTCATCAATTGTATTTTCCAATTTCTGTGCTTTTACTCTCTCACTAACTAGCTGGGTAACCTTGGGTGACTCAGTTCTCCTATTAAGCCTCGGTTTCTTCACTTGTAAAAGGAGGATTAAGTTCTTCAACCCAGATTGGTCCCAAGCTAAAACTAAAAGCCACCAGCATCTCTGGATAGAAATTCTGGGGAAAAAAGAAGCAAGACAATACAGCTCACTCAGTAACCTGGATGTAATCCATCCATACACAGGCCCTCAGGCTGCCTACCTGGAGGACGAGCAAATGTTCTTTCCAGTCGTGGCTTTCTGTTTCCCTAAAAGACTCTTTTAAAAAAGCAGCTCAGATCAGGGCTCTCAGCCACTTCCTGAGCCTTCCTGAGAGAGGGTTTTCTTACTAAATAAAACAAAAGCCTTCAACACATTAACTCTTTCCATGTAAATATATACTGCTGATCATTCATTACAGCAGGCCTTTTTTGGCCAAGCATCAAAGTCAGCCCTCAACTGGCTACCCAATAAAGCAGGTTCAAGAAACCTTCTACTTAGGAATACTTTTTGAGTTCCACTTCCTGTCCTAGGATATCCCATATTAGCCTCCTTCCAGGAATGACCTCAGTGACCTCAGAAAGACTACTTGCAAAACCAGAACTTATAAACTTATCACAAGCCGCTTCCTACAAGGACTGCTCTCTTCATATCATGAAGTAATTTACCAAATCCCCAACACTGCAGACTTACTTGGGAGCTATGCCCATAATTCAGAATTCAGCTTAGATCTCTGCTGCCTCAATTTACCCAGCTGAGAAGCTGCTGTATGTAAGTAACATGTATCAAGGAGAAACAGGAACTCTAAAAAGCTTTATTGATTCTTGTGTGTTCCTGGGGACCTTATGAACGGTCAGGAAATAATGACAGCTTCTGGACGAGATCAAAGTGCTACCAGAAGAGATGGAGTCTTACCTCTTCCCTCCAGGCAGGAAGTATCCTCCTGTATAAGAGTTCTCTCATCAGAGGAGGAAGGGAGGGAGGGCCCAGGTGCCCCAGCTGGACCCCGGGGAAGGTCATATGCCATGGTGAAGGGAAAGCTCAGAACAATCCTCTTCAAACTTCATACCATCTTCAGGACAAGCTGCCTCCCTTTCTTTGCCTGTCCAGAGAACAGCCAACTTAGCTCATGCTACCTTTGGTCAAGGCCAGAGACAAAAGCACAGAACAAAATAACAATTCAGCATGTGGCAAGACCAGGGACGCTGTTTATCTCTTCAAGACTTAAGTTAACCTGTGACCTGGGGACAAACCATTCACAATAACAGTTTTTTTGGTTGTTACCATTGAGTTTAATCATTCTGATAAGTCCGAGAGAAATATTATTTTAATGTGGAATTGAAGGGAATTTAGGGGACAGACAACCCAAAACTCTGCAACGACATTGCAGGGTTATTGCTACTCTTCAGTGATAACTGACTGCTACCCTTCAAATAGCAAGCACTGTCTATGTAGACATATGTATATATAGGTGTATATATAATATATATGCATGCATATGTGTATGTAAATGTGTATATATGTATATACACACACATATGTACATATATAAACCTTATATATTTTAAAATTCATCTTTTTAAATTTTGAGTTCCCAATTCTCTCCCTTACTCCAGCCCTTCTCTCACCCATTGAGAAGGCAAGCAATATGATATCAATTACACATGTAATTGATATTTCCATATTGGCCATGTTGCAACAACAACAACAATAAAAAAAAGCAGCACAAAGAAAAATAAAATAAGTGAAAAGAGTATGCTTCAATCTGCACTCAGAATTCATCAGTTCTCTCTGGATATAGACAACATTTTTCTTCATGAGTCCTTCAGAGCTCTTGGATAATTGTACTGATGAGAGTAGCTAAGTCTTTCGTAGTTGATCATCATTACAATATTGCTGTTACTCTATGCAGTGTTCTCCTGGTTCTGCTCACTTACTTCAAATCAGTTTGTATATGGCTTGCCAGGTTTTTCTAAAACTATTCTGCTCATCATTTCTTATAACAATAGTATTACATCACAATCACATACCACAACTTGTTCAGCCATTCCCCAATTTTTTTTTTATCTCTTCGGAGATACAGACCTAGTAGTGGTATTGCTGGACACTATTTTACAGTCCTTTGGGCATAGTCCAAGTCTTTCTAAAGAGTGGCTGGACCGGTTCAGAACTCCACCCACTGAAGCACTTTCTTATTTTCCTTTGAACTTGCCTCTCTCTCTCAGGAACAATACATTCTGAGAAGCAGGTTCCCTGATCCTGCACCTCAAACTCTGACCTAAAATCCCAGCCCTTTCCTCCACAGAGTCTCCAACACTGGGAGGAAAATCTAGCCTTGGTGTATTTGTTTTTTCCCCAAAGTCTTCAGCTCATCCACCACTTTCTCTCTCAGTGAGGGATTTTGAGCATGAATTCTAAACAAAGCAAATAGTAGCTCAGACCCAGGTGATTGCATTGTTTAGCCCATCTGAGAGCAGAAGCTATACCATTGCGGAATATCAAGGAAACAAGCCATTCCTTTCCCTTTTAGAGATGATGGTTAAGAAACCCAAGTAATTAAAGTGTTTCTAAAACACTCACCGGACCATGATGATGCCCTACTCAAAAAATCTTCAGTGGCTCATTATTGACTTTAGGGTAAAATGCAAAGTACTGAGCCTGGCATTTAAAGATCTCCACAATATGGATGCCACCTTTCTGATATTACTCCTAATGTGAGTCTGGTCATCTCATAACCCTTCATGAACACTCTGTTCCAGCCAAATGAATGCCCTGACTATTCTCAGAACACATTTAACCTCCTCCCTCTGCACTTTTATACAGATACTTCCCAAATGTATGAATGTATGTACTCTCATCAGTGCTCATTTCTCAACTCTGCTTCCTAGGACTCCTAGATTCATGAAGAGCACAGCTCAGGTGCCACTCCTTAAAGGAGACCTTTCTGACCCCTCAATTATCAGCACTCTCTCCCTCTTGAAATTATTTTTGTTTATGCTTTCCATTTCCCTAGATGTAGACATATTTTATTCTTCCCATCCATCTACCTGCTCTCTGAAGGCAGGTGCTATCAGTTTTTCTCTTTGTAACCTAGCACATCATAGGTGCTTAATAAATATTTGTTGATTTGTTGAATAAAACACAAACATTTCCAAATTTTTCAGCCACAGAAAACTCATGAAGAACGCTGACTAAAGCATGCTGGGTAATACACCAATCTGCAACACTGAACGTTGTACCCACAGGGGAAAATAAGCATGGGTCCTTAAGACTGAAGTTGATATTGTGTGGATTGTAGGCAAGGCATTATTTATGTGGTATCATCCACCACCAATTCTTGGTAAGAAGGGGAGGAAGAGGGAGGAAGGGAACAATCCCTAATATATACCAGGCACTTTACAAATATCATTTCCTTTGAGCCTCACAACAACCCTGGGAGGTATTATTACCTGCTATTATTACCCCCATTTTAGAGTTGAGGAAACTGAAGCAGATAGATTTTTCCGGGTCACACAGCTAGTAAGTGTCTGAGGCTAAATTTGAACTCAGGTCTTCCTGACTCCAGGCCCAGTGTTCTATCCACTGTGCCACCTAGCAGCCTAACACAGGGAAAGACAGTTGAGTCCCTGTGGGTCCCTGATTCCCTCTACCCCATAAACCCATTCACTTTGAGAATATCTCAGAGAGTCAGTCCTCTTAATAAGTAAATGGTACTATGCAAAGGGCACTGAATTAGGAGACAGAAGACCTATGTTCATATCATCCTCACTTTGCCACTTACTACGTGACTCTGGGCAATTGACTCAATTTCTCTGGGCCTCATTTTCCTCCCTGTAAAATGAGGGGGCCAAACTAGATGACCTCTAAGATCCCTTCCAGCTCTCAGATCTGTGATCCCGTAACTCCCAATACATTATAACTCTATCCTGGGACAGGAAGGGTTCATTATGCTTATAATAATACTTATTATACAGATTCAAAAACACTGCAAGGCAATTGGTAAATCACATCACCCAGTGCACTTCCATGTACTGATCCCTCTAAAAGAACAAATAAACAAACAAAATGAACCCTAATCCCATCCTTCCCCACCCCACCCCCCAAAAAATATAGAGAATCTTAGAACTTCAGAGCTGGAAAAAACCTTAGAAACCATCTTCTCCAACCTCCTCCTCTTCAAGTGATCGATTAATTGCCAAATTGGATTGCCCTTTCTCAGTGCTCGTTCTTTGTGACCTCTCTACAGAACTGGACCTTTTCCTCCTGAACAGCATCTCTTCTTTGGGTTTTCATGACCCTGCTCTCTTTTAACCTGTTAATTTGTCTGACTGCTCCTCAGTCTCCTTTGCTAACTCATTTGTATTGAGCCTTCTGCATTAATAACATGTTAAGCAACTGATTCTCTAGGGGAAAAATGTACACATGACACCCTCCTAACTTTAATCTGTATGATTAACATTTTCTTCATGACTCTCGGTCTAGATGAGCAACAAAACAATAAATCAAGTCCTGATTTGTAGTGGTTGTCAGTTTTGCTCACAATGAGCAAATGGGCTTAGAGCCAATTATAAGTTAGCTCCAGCAAACCTCTGACCCCAAGGCTTTGTCCTGGGCCTTCTCTACTTTCTTCTCTTCACTCTCTCACATGCTGACCTGCTCAGCTCTCACGAATTTAATCATAATCTCTTCAAAGATGACTCCCAGATTTAAATATCATGTCCCAGTTTCTGTTGTACCATCACCCGGGTGCAGGCCCTCATCACCTGGACTACTGCAATAGCCTGCAGGTAAGCCTGCCTGCCTCAAGTCTCTCCCCGCTCCAAACCATTCTCCATTCAGCCACTAAAGTGGTTTTCCTAAAGCACAGGTCCTACCATGTCACCTCCCTACTCAATAAACTCCAGTGGCTCCCTATTGTCTCCAAGAATAAATTCAAAAGGCACTGTTTAGCACTCACCCCTGCTACCGTTTCAGTCTTCTTATACTTCACTCCCCAACATGTACTCCCATCCAGTGAAACTGGCTTCCTGTCTGTTCCATGAACAAGACACTCCATCTTTGGGCTCCGGGCACACTCTCTGGCTGTCCCCCATGCCTGGAAGCCTCTCCCTCCTCCATCCTGACTACTGGCTCAATACTGACCTCCCTGGCTTCCTTTAAGTCCCAACTAAAACCCCACCTTCTATAGGAAGCCTTCCCCAACCCCTTTTAATTCTCTTCCTCTTTTAATTATTTCCTCTTTATCTTGTAGATAGCTTGTTTTGAGTATGAATGTGTGTATATGTATATGTATAAGTATATATGTATACATATATATATATATATATACACACACACACACACATATATATATATTTGTCTGCATATTGTCTCCTCCATTATATTGTAAGTTCTTTGACAACTGGGACTGTCTTTTGCTTCTTTTTGAATTCCCAGTACTTAGCACAGTGCCTGGCATATAGTAGTTACTTAATAAATGTTTACTGATTGATTGATTTATTCTGTATCTACAAAATTTTATCTTTCCCCAAAAACTCACCCCTTTTCCAAACTTCACTGCTTCTGTGGAAGGAACCACTATCCTCTTATCCCAGGTACAAAATCTCCATGTTATCCTGAACTCACTTTCCTTTATGCCACATAGCCAATCAGTGGCCAAATCTTACATCTCTGGCACCTGTCCCCTTCTTACCTATCACCTTCTTTGTTCAAACTCTCGTCTCTCCTCACCTGCATTAGGACAGGGCCTCCTAACTGGTCTCTCTGCCTCAAATCCCTGCAATCCTTCCTTCACCCAGTTGCCAAAGTGATCTTTCTAAAGCACAGGTCTAATCATATTACTCCCCTGCTCCATAAACCCCAATGGCTCCTTATTATCTCCAGAATAAAATGTAAACTCTTCGGGTTGGTTTTTAAAGCCCTTCAAAGCTCCAAACTACCTTTCTAGCCCTATTATACACTACCCTACTTCTCCACATTCTATGGTCCAGCCAAACTGGCTTTCCTTCTGTTTCTCACACATGTCACTCCAACTCCATCTCTATGACTTTGTACTGGCCATCCTTTATGCTTTCCCTCCTTACCTCGACCTCACAGAATCCTTAATTCCCCCAAGGCTGAGTTCAAGCTTCTACATGAAACTTTTCCTAATCTCAATTGCTAATGTCCCCCCAAATGACCTAATAAATATATTTTGTAAATTTATTCTGCATATGCTTATACATGTATACGTGTGCATACATATACATATATTTATATGTACATACACACATCATCTCCCTTGATAAAGCGTAAGGTCCTTGGGAGCAAAAACTGCTTCATTATTTGTATTTGTATGTCTTGCCCTAAGGTAGGAAGTGGGCATTTAATGAGTGTTAGCTAATTAACAAAACTGATGCCTAGAGAAGGGAAATGGCTAGTACAAGGTCACTATGACTCTAAAACATATCTCCTTACTCAGTACACTACACAGTACTGCTTCATACAGTAAATTCATACAAGGGAAATTAGTATTAGTAGTATAGTAGTAGTAATAGTAACAACTAACATTTATATAACACCTATTCTGTGCCAAGCACTGTATTAAACACTTAACAATTATTTCATTTTATCCTCACAACAACCCTGGGAGGTAGGTGCTATTATGAAGCCCATTTTACAACTGAGGAAACAGACAAAAAGAAGTTAAGTGACTTGCCCAGGGTCACACAGCAATTAAGTGCCTGAGGCCAGATCTGAATTCGGATTTTCCTAACTCCAGGCCCAGCAATCTGTCTACCATCTAGCTGCCCCTAAATTACATGTATAAACCTGGCTAGCCTTAACCAGTGTATTTTGACATCATAACACACCACTTTACTTGTACATCCTGATCAGATGATTAATGGGTAAAAGGACCCTTAGGGATCATCTAGTTCCAACTTACTTAGGAGGCCCTGAAAGGTTAGGCATTTTGCCCACAGTCCCACAGTAAATGTTGAAGCAAGTTCCTTCTGCTCTAAATCGACCACTGCACCATGCTTTCTCTTGATTCACTGTATTCTAAATTCACTGCGTTCTAGGTCACCGAGGTAGTAACAGCGCTGCGATTGAAGCTCAGAACTTTTACCCCTGGGTTCAAGGGAAAATGTCAATGATGACATTTTCCTATTTTGTACCTCTCTAATGCATGTTGAGTGTGGTATAATGGAAAGAGGAGAGGCCTGCTCTGAACCCCAGATCCCACATTTAATAACTGTGTGGCATGAATAAGTGACTTTTCCTGCCTGAGCCTTGGTTTCTTCTTACGTAAAATAGAGATAATCATACTTACAGCTTTCTACGTTACAGGGTTATTAGAAGCTATTACTTCATCACTTGGAAGCACTATAGAAATGAGTTATCATCATCATACAATGTTGGTCGTTACAGTTATCTCTGTGCTTGTATTCTATCCTGCTACTGGACTAGAAACTCCAGAAAGGCAGAGTCCATCTTACCCAAACTTTAAATCTCTCACCCTCACCCTCACCCACTTCACACTGGGCTCTGCAGAGAATTATGTGTTTAATAAACCTCTGCTAAGTGAACAAGCAGCCGGGTGATATGATAGATAGAGCACCGGCCCTGGAGTCATGAGTTCAAATCCAGCCTCAACATTTGATAGCTGTGTGACCCTAGGCAAGTCACTTAACCCTGTTTGCCTCAGTTCCTTTATCTGTAAAATGAGCTGGAGAAGGAAATACCAAACCACTCCAGTATCTTCACCAAGAAAATCCCAAATGGGGTCACAAAGAATAGGACATGACTGAACAACAAAATGAATGTTTTTATGTAGAGCTGCCCTACTGAAAAGGATCAGGTGTGAGTGAAAAGTCAAGCTGGGCTAAGCCTCCCTCTTCACCCCACTCATCTTACCAGCTGCCCCAGCAGGAGTGTTAAAAAAGGTCTAGGTGACAGAGAGAAAATGTAAAAGGGGAATGGAACTAGCAATGTCCAACTACGGAACTTCTGTCTGAAACATGGAAGGAGGGAAGGAAGCACAGAAACCATCTAAACTACCCCCTTATTTAAGCACAAAAATTAGGGCCAGAGAACCTAACTCCTTTGGGTTGGAATCCCAGCTTGGCTAGTTAATACCTGCTTTATCACTGGCAAAACATATCACCTCTCTGGGCCTCAGTTTCCTCATCTGTAAAAATGAGAGAGTTGTGTTGAATGATTTCAAAGATCCCTTTCAGCTTTAAATCCTTATTTCTCAGATGAGGACCATAAGGTCCAGAAAAGGGTGTGACTTTACTACATGCTTCCTATGGAGGCTTTGCACAATTAGAAGTGCTGGGAGGTCTTAGCATTGGACAAGGCAACAAGGAAGGTCCCAGTGACCCTACCTGGAAAAGCCTGGATAGAACAACGATGATGACGACAAAAATGTTAATAGTGATCCAGAGAGATTTCCTTAACTATTCGGTGTTGGTGTTGTTGTTGGGGTTAAGTGACTTGCCCAGACTCACACAGCTAGTGAGCGTTATGTGCCTAAGGCCGAATTTGAACTCAGGTACTCTTGACTCCAGGTGCTCTATCCATTTTGTCACCCCTTAACTATTTCTTAAACAATAGATTCTGCCCAGTGTCTAGGCCTTTATAAGCCACTATGTTCCTGAACCCGTTATAATGAGTTTTGACTTTACTTTCCAATGTCACTTGCCTTTTCCTGTGCTTATCTCCTTTTGGATCATTTCTTACCCCTCTTCAGTCAAAAGTAGGAAAAAAAATGTTCGGGATCTGGGTTACTGAAGAGTATGGAGATCATTCTTTCAAGGGGCACTACCACTGCCCCTGGGACCCCACCAAGAACTGTACACAACATTCATGCTCAGTCTCCTTCCACAGAAATGGCAGCTGAATTCCCCTGAGTTACTCACTACAGCAGCAGGAAGTTGTAAAAAAGATTCAAACCTTATACTGCAAAGGCAGATCATGAAAAAAACACATTTTATATTCTAGGAGAAGGGGGAAAGGACTTAGAGATCACCTAGTCCCAACTCTTTCATTTTAAAGAGAAGGAAACTGAGGTCCCTAGGAGGAAGGAGTGCCTTGCCCAAGGTCAGATTGTAACAGAATCAGCCGTGTGTGTGTGTGTGTGTGTGTGTGTGTGTGTGTGTGTGTGTGTGTGTGTGTGTGTGTGTGTGTGTGTGTGCGCGCGCCCATTATACCACACCGAAACTCAACTAAAACAGGCAATCATGATTGGGGAAGCTTGTGCAAAGAATTTAATAAGAGGAATTGGGTTTGAATCCCAACTACTGCTTGTTGTGACACTGTGGAAATTGCTCCCACTTTCTGAGACTCAGCTTCTTCATTCACCCTCCCGAGGAAGGGCTAAGCAGAACACCATAGCTGGGGTTCTGTGATGTTCTGCTTAATTCCAAAACTCAGCCTTTAGTTGGCTGACCCTGGGATAAGTGATTGAAGTCTCTGCGTAGCTGGATCGCGGCCCCTTGGGGGGAGGGGGTCATCACGCGACTGCTTTAAGTTGTTATCCCAAGACAGGCCAGAACAAGCTCTTGCTCCCTGAACTTCCTCCTTCTGCTGCCTTTTCTCCTCCCAAATAGATGTGCACTGGAGACCCCAGCCTTCAGCAACCCCCTGCGGAACGGCAGAGCCTCCAGCCTGGTTAAGAGCATCCAGACTCCCCCATTTCCTCCTCCTGGCACCGGGGCACAGGTCCCTAGGCCCCTGCCCCCGGGACGGGGGAAGTGCTGTAAGAACTGCGGGGGTGCAGGGAGGCTCCGCTCCGCTCCGGGCCTCAGTGCCCGGAGCTGTCCCAGCGCGCCTGACGCCCGGGCGCACACTCACCCTAGAATCCGCCGCTGCAGTAACCCTCGGCGGCGCTGGGCAGAGGGTTTCCTTGGGGGCGGGAGGAGGAAGAAGGGGGCAGGCGGCCGCAGAGAGGCCGAGGGCCGGTGCTGCGAAAGGTACAAACCCGTGCGCGCCCGCCCGACCTAGCCAGCACGGCAGGAAAAGCTGACTTCCTCTCGGCCCAGCGCTGGTCTCTGGTTACTGTTACCTTGCGAGTCACCGGGCATGTGACTCCACTGCGTGCTCCCCGAAGTATTGCCAGCACCATCTCTTGCTCTTTCAATTCCAGAGGCCGTTTTCACGGCTGGGGTCATTTCATTGCAACATAGACCATGGACACACACACTTGTGCATCCTCATGTGGATTCACCCCGCGGGTCCCGCCCCCGACGAGGCCACTATGCAAAACAGGAAAGTAGGAGAGAGAACTCATGGGACTTCAAACTGGAAGGGCCCTTCGAGGTCATGGAATCCAACTCCATCTGCCCCTTTATTTCACAGAGATGGAAACTGAGGCACCAAGAAGGCTGGTGTCCACTGTGCTAAAGCGCTGGGGATGCAAAGACAAATAAAAATAATAGCTAGCATTTATAAGATGCTTTAAGGATTGCAAAGACTTCACAAACAGTATCCCATTTTATCTTCACAATAACCCTGGGAGGTTAAATCCTATCAATATGTCCATTTTACAGATGAAGAAATTGAGGTTAGATAACTTGCCCCCCTCCCCAGCAATGGCAAGAGCCCTCCACAGTGAGTCCACAGACCTGTGTTTTCACCTGACTCTTCCTCACTGCATAATCTTGAACACCATCATTTTCTCCTCCACTATCTAGGGGCTTGTTTCTTCATTATTACTAAGTCTCTCCAGTTCAACATTTCTGCATTCTTAGCCCTCTTTCAATTAAAAAAAACAAACAACAATAATAATAATTCGGAGATTAGAGGAATAGTTCCTCTAATAGGACTGAATTTCAGGCATCAATTCCATTCAATGCAGCAAATGTTTACTAAGAAGCCTCAATAAATGGTGATTGGACCATAAGGAGGAGGGTAGAGAAGAGACTCCTAGGGCAGCACGCTACTCCTTAGTTCTCAAACCATACCTTTACCCAGAGATGTGCTGATAAATGTACATATGCCATATTTTTAAGTTTAATTTACATCATTAACATTTTCTCCATCACTTTATTAAGTCCAGACATCAACAAAGTAATGAATCAAGTCTTGATTTGTAGAGTTTGCTGATTTCCAAAGGGTTAAAGAAAATTTTACAAATGGCTCTCCAGAGCTAGTTGTGGCTGGCTCCAGCAGCCCCTGCCTCTATCCCCAAATGGTTTCCACACACTCTGCATACATTAAGTACACCTTTAATCTTCATCTCCAGAGGAACAGCAATCTTCCAGATGATTAAGCAGTTGTCAGGAAACTGGAGATGGATAGTGATTCAAGAGGCCTCACATATGGAGCAAAAACATTTAGCCAGGCTGGACAATACTGAAGCAACAGGCTAGTAAAGTGCGATTAACCTGCTTTTATCAAAAAAGAATGGGGGGGAAGAAGGAGGAGCTAGAGCTTTAACATCTATGCAACCATTTAAATAAAATGCCTATTTGACATAATTATCCTGTCCAATCCCACGTATCCAAACAAGTTCTACCCACCTCAAGTCCTGTCTTCTTCATAAAGGTTTACCTAGTGGCCTTCACTTATCTCCCTGTCCTCCAAACTTTTGCAACACATACTCTGTAGCAGGACTGAGTTTATGACAATAGACCACTGTCCTCCCCAGTCAGAGCATAAGATCCTTGAGGGCCAGGGCAGACTATGAAATAGCCACTCAGTACACACTTTTTAGGTAATTACGTTACTTCCCATTGACTGCAGGAGGGTGGGGAGGGTGTGGAGAAGCAGAGAAGTGATGGCATGTGATGTCTGTGTGATCTAGGAGACTAAATCTGCTGATTGATTAGCCTCCCTCATCTGTAAAATGAGAGGGTTAGACTTGGTAAAGATCCCTTCCAGCTCAAAAATTTTATCATTCTAGCTTGGTCCAAAACCCACTCAGTGGTAGGGCTTTTCCTACTTGACAGGCTTCTGGAAGTGACTTTTCTGCAAAGATCCAAAGTCTGGTTTCAAAGTGTAAGCAGCCACTATTACCAGAAAACTAGTTAATGACTTCAGCAGATAGGCCCAATGAACACAAGCTTGGACAGATTTCAAGAGATAGTGAAGGACAGAAGGCCCTCGTGTGCCCTGGTCCATGGGGTCATGACTGAGCAAAAACAGTAAAAGATAGGCCCAAGACCTACATGAACTTTATTCTCAAATTGTCAGGGCCCTGAGGATAGTAGCAGATACAATCCGAGAAGCGATTATAAGGAATGGATTCTCTTGTGATTCCAGGCCTATCAGTTTCACACTCATTTAAAAAAAAAAAGCTGAACATTTCATAGTTGGTCCTAATACTGTAGTCCAATGATCTTTAACTAAGCATTTACATTATTCTATATTTTTACCTTAAAAACTCCCCAAAATAATAATAAACAATGAGGCACCCTCCCAAAGAATGCCCTAAAATCATGGTCAGCTCATACTGCCCTTCCTTAGGTTAACTTGTCCCCAGCAAGCATTCCCTCAGCCGCCAAAACAAAAACAAACCATAGAGGGGGCCATGGAGCTCTGGTTCTGACTTCTAACAACCCAGAACTGGAACCCTGGTTGTTGGCAGTTTTTTTAAGCTAAAGTAGCTGCTGCCAGCATAAATATGCCAGTGTCTTACAGGTCTCCCATCAACACAACCACCAACCAGATCATTTAACAAGGCTTTGTCAAATTCTTCTAACCAGCTGCCTTCCAGAATTTCAAAGCCACTGAAGATAGGTGAGGTCAGCTCATGGGAAAAGAAAAAAATATACCAATTTCCATTAAACAGAAAGGTTTAAAATATAGTATACAAAACTTACAAAAATGGTGCTTCTATCAGCTAAAATGGACGTTTTCAGTGTAACTATATTTAATACAATAATGCCCAATACAAGGTCTTGTATGACTAATGACTAATACAAAGGTCTTAGTGTAGTTTTCAGTTTTTAATAAATTCAGAAATGTAAATGCTAAAAACTTATAAAAATCATTTGGATGGTTAATTATTTACAATTTTTAAAATGTTGGTGTTACTTATTAAAATTAAACATAACTGCCCTCATGTGCTAACCATTGTTCTAGTCAATTTGCAAATTTTGTCGAAGTTTTCATTAGCTGCTACTCAGTGACCAAAGGGTTTGAATGTAATTCTAGCCTTAAGATCATCCAAAGACAGATTATGAGGTTTGATGCATGTGTAATAGTTTTGACAAGACCTCACAAGAAAAAAGTTCAGTGGAGACAGACCAGGTGACCAAGGTGGTCAAGCAATATTCATGAAACTATCACATACTCAATGCCATAACAGCAAGTGCCCCATCTTGTTAAAGTTAAAATTAAATATTCGTTACTCAAAATTCAGAAAACCAAGTAAGTGTAAAAGAAATTTAAATAATTAAACTTTTAAATTATTTCTTTTGTAAGTTTGTAGCATTTGTACTTCTGAAGGCACTAAAACTTAAAACTGCACTAAGACTTTGGGGACATGCTGTATAATGTGACCTTGAACACTAATGTTTATTTCTTTAGAAACTGGATTTTTCAAGGCTACAGATTTTTCCTTCCAATGGATTGAATTCACATAATTTCAGTGATTTTGAAAAACCTAAAAAGATTTTGGTTCAATCCAGGTTTCTTTTTCTGGTTTTTGTCTAGCACTTGGGGCATAGATGCTGCCAATATATCTAGACAGGGTGCGTCAAGGGAAGATTATTCAAGGAACATGGGAAGAAGCTACGAAACTTTGGCTTGTAAGGAGAATGAGATCCTTACTTTCCTTCTTCAAAGAGACTCTATGAGGAGCAGCTAGGTGGCACAGTGGATAGAGCACCAGCCCTAGAATCAGGAGGCCCTAAGTTCAAAGCTGGCCTCAGACACATGATACTCACTAGCTGTGTGACCCTGGGCAAGTCGCTTAACCCTGATTGCCTCACCCCAAGAAAATAAAAAGAAACCCTATGAAGGATTGCAGGATATCATCGGTTGGATTTGTGTGAAGCCCTGTCCCATACCTGGAATGGACTGCTTCCACATCTCCAACTACTGAAAACTTTCTTTTCCTTTTACCTGGGCCCAGCTCAGGTATCATCAGTCTTCCCCAATATCCCCAACTAGTATTTGTTCCTTCCTTTCCAACCACTCTGTTGAACTTCAAGGCACTTACCACATTCTATCCTGAACATTATTTGCATGTTTTATCTGCCATCTGTAAGCTACTTTGAGAGCACGGGCTATATTTCTATTTCCCAAGTGCCCATTTGCCTTAAGTGTATGGTGACATATACCTGAAAAAATATTTTAATTTCACTAGTTACCAGGCTTGAGAAGCAGGGGGTTTCCAAATTTATAGAAGCAACTGTTAGGAGTTTTCTCCCAGCATCAAAAATTACATCCTAAGATCATAGATTTAGAACAAGTAGGGACCTCGAAGACTATTAACCGGAGGAAAAATGACATGCCCAGAGTTCCACAAATACTAACAGAGCCAGGAGTTGACCTGAGGTTTAGTAACTCCATATCCCAAGCTCCTTCCGCTGCACCAAGCTGTATAGATCTTTGATGAGATGACACCTGTAAAGGACTCTGCAAACCTTACAGCATGATAGAAATTCCAGCTACAAATAGTATCTTCGTTGTCACCAGTCTGGTGAGGCAAGCAGAGCGGGTAGAAATATTCCTACGGGAGGTTAAGTGCTTTGCACAAAATTACATAACAAAGGATACAATGTCAAATACAGGTTCTCCAACTTCAAGTTAGAATAAATAACACCTGAAATGGTATTCCTCTGTTATGTTGAACTTGGATTTGGCATGCAAAAAAGTAGTGGGTATATACCAAAGGACTCATGATGGAACATACTACTCACTTCCTTACAAGAGGTGGTCTTCAGACCTAAAATTAGAGACGTAACATTTTTGGACAAGGTCTTCATTAGGATTATGTTAACAGGGTCCCCCCCCCCTAATTATTTTTGGGGGATGGGGGAAGGAAAGAAAATTGTTGAATTTTAAAATTTTTTTAAAATATACGTATACATGCATACATATACCATATTTTATATATGTGTGTGTGTACCTATATTTATAAAAATATGTGTATGTTAGGTGTCTTGTAATTGTCTACTTTACACCAGGATGCCCCACTAGTACCTCAA